TGTGTGTGTGCATGTGTAGCCGAATGGTCAATCGATCACATATTGTGATCGATCCACTTGTGCAATACGCCGGTCTAAATTATGTAGATCAATATTGTCTGAATGGTTTTCAGATGGTGGTCATACAATCTGGACAGCACTGGGTGTAATTTGATTCAACCCAGCGTAATTGGGAGGTTCGATCAGACTAAGACCTGGCACGAGGGTGTGAAAACACCAACCAGGAGACTGGGTCATATAGGTCCCGTTGGGCTCCTCGGATAAGAGCCCCGGGATCATGGTCACCGATTGTGACAGATACTGAACGACATGGCCGATTGTCGCAAACAGTGGCTCTCATGCATCTACTCATTATTCTTCCAACCTCGGTGTATATGAATTCTATATCTTCTACTTGAATGTGATCTCAGCACTCTAATCTTCATTCTGCTCTTTTATCCAAACGGGCGGCCAAAAGACAGCAACCAAAACTGGCACACTAACGTGCAAAATCTGAAACTGGCAGGCTAGCACCTTCCTCGTACTCATGTGTGGTTTTCTTAATCACCGTCTCTCGGTTTACTCCAAAAGATAGTTTTCTTTCGTTCTCGGACACATGTAACCTTTTTTGTTCAATACTGTATCCTTGTATGTTTTCTATAGTCTTGGATCGTCTTTCCAGTATTTTTCACCGCTCCGTAGTTGACAGTAGCTCTTTTTGTGAAAACACTTACGTCGATAGTTCTCTACTCCATCAAGATGTCTCGGGTGTATGTCCCGTTTGACACTACCTCCCTGCATACCGAACACTTCATTCGCGTGGAAGTAACCTAATGAAAAAGGGCATTTTTTTAAAGTTTCTCCTCATTTATAATTACTCTTAAGTTGTCTTTATTTTGTTCGCCAGTTGGATTTTCTCGATCGAGTTTGGGATTGTCAGCAACCGAACACCGGCACCTTACACTGCACCGCAACTATCTGTCATAAACTTTCAAAGAAAGATACCGCGACTGTGCACACACAGAAAATAGAAATCAACGATCAGTTCTGATGGTATTTTTGTTGGTCGCTAAACACTCCGTAAAACCGAGACATAACCACAAAAAGGCCAATTTGAGATAGGCGTAGAAATCCAAACTCTCTCAGATACGATCTTCCGTTGCCTGATAAAATGATCCCGTTTTAAACCGGATCCGGATACGAAATAAAATGTTTGTTACGATGGTTTCATATCTCTGTATCTCTGAGCAATTTCTCAGTGCCTTCGGTTCGTTCCGCTTGAAGTTGGCATTCGCGGTTACCCACGCTAGTTTCGAGACGTGGACTGTTCCTCTGGATTTATCCGTGCAATCTGTTTAGGAATCATTCTATTCCAGTACACGGAATCGATCGCATACAATCTGTTTGTTTCCACGCTTCTCCGGGAGATGGGGGATGAAAAATNTTTGTCTGCGCGCGCGCACGCACACGTATTTTCTCTTCTTTTTCCTAAACTCAAATTCGATAACTGCCTCGACCGAGGTTCTCGCTTCTTTCAATGATCCGGATATTACGAAATTTGGTATAGAATAAGGCTACTGATCATGCGTTTTCAGTCGATTGTGTTATTGTATGAGACCGGTTTTCATTATTTGCGTCCACTCTGCCTGATGAGCTAACTACTCAACTGCGCTTTGACGATTGTAATGTGCTCTGTGTGCGTGTGTCTTTATGACCTCAGCACCACGCCAGGGATGTTCTAACCTGGACCCATCTCTCATTTGTATTGTATCAGGAGAAATTTCTCGCGGCCACTGCCGCCTACCAGTTCTTATGCAATCGGAGCAAATTGGGCAGCGGGCCCAATCGTCTGCACATTCAACTCATGCTCCGAGCGCAAAGCATTGTCTACAATCGGTATCGATCTGGTACGTTTTTTTGGCATCCGTCTCTGCGGTGTTCCATCCTGTTGCGTATTGATTCCTTCCATACACAATACTCACCATCTTAGGTTTTAAATATTACTTTATATTACTCGCGATTGTATTAAGTAGTATGTGAACAATTGTACCAAATTTCCCAGAAGCACTCGACCGGTTTCGCGGTCCTTGTTGATCATCACATATGTGTATTATTGCGAATACTTCGTCCCGTCATTGTTATACATGTACTCCGGATGTGAATTAACCAACCCATACTTTATTTGCATCGCCTGGAATTAATTGAAAACGTTAGTTGCGTATAACCTCAGCAAAATCGACACAGTGGGAAGGTTTTTCCGTTTTTTTTGTATCATAGTAATACTAGTAATAGTAAATATAACCTAATAATAATAATAGCATACGAACGACTGTGAAAAATTGCACACGACCAGTGTCGTGATCCTTACCGCTCATTCGGTCTAATCATTCTTATCGTCATATATCCTGCAATGTAAATGAAGTTTAGGCTACTCAACAAACCGTTGCGGGATGAACAGCGGTGACCGTGATAAACTCCACAGTCAAGATCGACTGTTCGTCGGCAACCTAAGGTCTGGGTCTTGAAGCGGATCACCGTACTGGTCTGGAGAAAAACAATGGCAGGATTCCAATCTAGTGCCTTACAACCTAAATCACATCGGTGGCATAACATGTATTTCATTTCATTCGAGAGAAAAGACTTGCACAGTAGAATTGATTAGGTACATATCATATGATCATTTTTACTGTATTTATATCGGAACAGGTAAGATCGATATTTCCCATGTTTTCTAAGACTCTGTTGTTCAGTTGAATGATTTTGTGAACACGAATTCAGACGGATATAGTTCATATTTGTTTGAACGAATTTGTGTTTGCCTATCGGTGATCGGTATGCGTTTTGCACCTTCAAAGTGTAAAATGTTGCTACAAGACTGGGTTGGTCCAGCACCCAACCTCACTATAACTGAAGAAGTAATAGAGCAGGTGGATAAGTTTTGTTATTTGGGCAGCTACATCTCACCCGGTGGACGCATCAAGGATGAAGTGTCGGCACGGATACAAAGCGCTCAGTTGGCATTCGCCAACGTGAGACATCTGTGGCGCCGTCGCGACATCCGGTTGTCTGTGAAGGGTCGAGTGTATGCCGCGACAGTTCGGCCAGTCCTGCTACACGGTGCAGAAACTTGGCCATTAAGAAAACAGGACAAAAATAGACTGTCGGTGTTTGAACACCGCTGTCTACGCAGCATTGCACGAATCTGGTGGGGTAGCCGGATGCGCAATGCTGAGTT